CGCAGCCTCGACCTGCTGGGCTCCGGCGATCCTTCCGCCTCAGCCTTCCGAGTAGCCAGAATTACAGGTGCGCGCTACCACGCCCGGCTGATTTTTTGATTTATTGTAGAGATGAGGTCTCGCTGCCCAGGCGGGTCTCGAACCCGTGGGCCCAGGCAATTCACTCACCTCAACCTCCCAAAGGCGCGGGATTACAGGCTGAGCCACCGAATCCGGGTTATTATTTATGAATTTTGATGGAATTTTTAAATGTCAGATTTTAGAGATTTATGCTTTAAAATTTAACTTTACAGAGTTCAGTATTTAAATAATAAAATGTCTTTTTTCCTCTTCCCTTCTCCCATTAGACTTTGAATATTAGTATAATCTGATATTTTGTATAGCTGAATACAAAAAAAACCCACCATATTACCTTGTCTATATTTAATATTATCATTTTGTCATGTCTAGAAAATTTCAGTTATAGCAACATAAACAGGAAACTGTAGTGATGAATCAAAGCCCACTTTTGGTAAATTTTCCAGATCTTTTTCTGATAATTTTTCTAAGGTTACAATATATGCCCATTGCTACTCTATTAAACTTTCATCAGTTGCTGACATTTGACTTTTTTGGAATTTTGTAATTTTTTGGAAAATATCTGTCAAACATAATTTTTGGTGAGAGTTTATCAGAACTCCCAAGAAAAAAGTACAAGTCATCTGTACAAGTATTTTGGTGTGAAAGATATGTTCAGATCTCTGGTAATCATATCACAGGTATTTTGGTGTGAAAGATATGTTCAGATCTCTGGTAATCATATCATTAAAGTAGAAGACTGTGTCTAAATACTTGACTGAAAAAAAAAGCATAGCCACCATACATATAGAAAAAACTACTTTTGGAAAAAAAAACATAGAATATATAACATCTATATATTTTGTTTAAAAATAGAATTATATTACTTCCTTCATTCACATATTTAGTGTGTGCTATTTGCCAGCTATTGTTCTTTTATTGGAAAATAAATCTATTGGCTAGAGAAAAGAAAACGTAATAAAAATGAAATACTACTTTTATAATAATAACTACTTTTATTAAAATAATCTTAATGGCTACTATAATTGGATGACCACTACTTAGTTTCTATTTTACTTCAAAGCTGTAGAATTGGATGCACATCATTCTAACAAATATATTTCAACTTTACAAGAATAAGTTCTTCTCACAGTTGTTCATATAATTCTTCACTCAATCCAAATGAAAGCTATATATGAACATTTTTAAAGTGAGCACAATATAGAATTATCTCAATCATAATATCGTTTCTTCCTCTATGTTCTCATTACTTAGGAGTGCACAACATGAAAATTTCAAAGTAAGTTGTGAATTCCCCTCATATAAGTAGAATTACCAGAATCTTTTAACATCCCCAAGTAGATGAATCATAATACAGTATACCTTCTTTCATTTATATCTTCTCATGGAAAATGTCACCACTTTTCTCTGCCTCATTCTTGATATTTCAAATCTGTTTTTTTTAAAAAAAACTCTTATCAGCAAATTTAATTAGAAATAAATGCTTACAAGGACATGTCTTATTATGACAGTCTGAATTAAAAAGAATGATAATGGCAAAAAAAAACTTTTATGGCAAAATACAATGCCCTTTACGTAAAATCCATAGACATAAACCTATAGTTTAAATCACAGTTCTGTGTATGATTTAGCAATCACTTAAAATCTCTGAAACTTATTTTTCTCATCTGAGAAATTACAATATTTGTCTCCATAACATTGTTCTGAATTGAGAAATAATAGCAGTTATACTTTTTTTTTAAAGCCATAAAAGAGACTAAGTGGAAATGATTATGAGAAAAGCTTATTCCTGTACTTCCACCTCTTTAACATTTATAAGGTATATTTGCTAGATTGATGTTCATGCCTACTTCTAAACCTTTAAAGTAACTCAGATACCAAATGTCATGTTGGTTAATGCTGGTACAGATCATGAAAATATCCTTACAACTAATAGCACTGAATTACTCCAAGGTCAAAAACTTTATCCAAACTCTAAGTTACTCACAAACAGGAAGCCTGATAAAGTAAAAAACATGGGCTAGTGCTTTGCAGACCCAGGTTCTGAGCACTTAATACATTAAGTATGTGAAGATGAGAAGACCAATTGAATTATTCGGCCTTCAGATTCTTACCTGTAAAAACTGCTAGGGTGAAGTAGATGAATTTTTTAGTATGTGGTAATTTAGTATAATCAAGAAACAGGAAAGTTTTCTGTGGTCACTGATGAGAGGTGATTAATATATTTCTTACTCATTGGTCAGTTCTATTTAAAATATTGTTATTTAACATTCACTATGTGTTAGGGACTTAGGAGTTGTGAGTAATTAAAATATTAGCAAAATGGAGTTTTTGTCTTGTTAGAGCCTGTATCCTGTCTAGAAGAAGAGGTAACCAGAATATTAGTTAGAATTTAAGTTCCCTATGGGGTGCAAATCAAACTCATGGATTACTAACTGAAGAGTTAGGGAAAAGGGGTCAAAGGGAATATGGAATTTGGCTAAATTTTGTGGGTTAGATTCATTTTAACAAGCAAGTTTGTTGGGGGAAAGGCATTCCAGGTGGAGTAACAGACTTGAGCAAATGCACCAGCAGAGAACTTCCGGAAAAATATTGTATGTTATCCTGCAAAATACCAAGTATGAGAGCAAGTGGTTGAAGTTAAAACAGCAAAAGTGGATCCTTATTGGATCGTGGAAAGCGTTAAGAGAAGTGTTAAAAATATCAGAATGTAATGTATAGGCTGTGAAGCAGACTTTGGAGGAGGCCTTTGAGAAAGGTAAAAAGGTGACTCTGATAGCATTTTGGATAAATTGGGACGTGGAGAAACTTAGGATATGGAAAAACTCAACAATCATCCTACTAAGAGCTTTTTCTGTGTTTTACAAGGAATTAATATGAGTGATATGAAATAAAACGAACATAACCTGGCAAGTGATTAAACATGGACATCATGGGAGAGAAATAAGTAAAAATATGCTCCAGTACTTTGTGTCATGTTAATGGGAAGTAGGTGATGGCATTGGAAATGGAAGGAAATATCAATAGCATGTCTAAAAAACAGAGAGGCCAGTTCATCCAGAAAAGAAATTGTGCAGAGAAATGTTGTTTGGGAAAGGAAGAATTTTAAGAGTATTCAACAGATGTCCTGTCTTCTCAGAGAAGATGCAAAGTCATCTCTTAAGGCAGGTGGTGTCTAGTGTGTGGACTGGAAAGGGTTTGGAATTCTGCCCACAGAAAAAAAGCATAAGGAAGAGTCAACTAGAGGTGAACAAAGGAATTTCTGAACAACTCCAAGTGTATACTAATAATAGATTCAGAAATTTCTAGTTGAGCCAATTGGCACAATTTTGTGACTTTTTCTGGTAACACTCAGCTACCCAGTAGTGAGATCAGAGAAAGTGTACTACAGTGTTTTCCCAGCAGTGAGATGTAGGTAGAAAGCAAAAGATAGTAATAGATCAGAGGGACTCCTTGATGCTAATAAAAGACCACATACAATGGCAGGCAGCTCAAAGACTTAGGAATGAACCAAGAAGAAACTAAAATAAAAATGGTTCAAGGAATTAAAGACAGGATCAGGGTGAAGAATGGATTCATTGTCTGTAAGAGGAAAAGAAAAGATGGCTATGGTCAGAGGAGGGAATTCCCAAATTCAGGATTTTTAGAAATGAGGTGGTTTTGAGTAATCACTATTTTTACACCTTTTGAAATTTTATTTCAAAGACTCAGTCAAGACAGTTTGCTATTCCTCTCAAGCAGTGACATACAAAGGGAACCAGGGAAAACTGTCCTTCTGAACATTATTTGATCATTAAGAGTATTTAGAACTGCTGGTACATGATGATAATAAAAAACAAACTGGTTTTTGGTCAGTTTTATTAATATTCTTAAGCTGTCCACAGACTCATTGCCTACCCTTGGATAGAACACTTTCACTTGACCCCTCACCTAATCTCAAATTCAGTCTGGAGTTGAAGATTGACTAAAATGGTATTAGAGGAAAATAATTTTGTAATCTAAACCAAGTTACCTACTAATTAGGTCATGCAGGGCCAATCTGGCATTCTACCTATTTTGTAAATAAAGTTTGCTTATTACATTTGTTTAATGTACTGTCCTTTCTGCACTATAGAGACAAAGTTGAGTAGTTGGAATAGAGACCATATGACCCTCAAAGCCTAAATATTTACTATCAGGACCTTTGCAGAAGAAGTTCCTAACCTTTGATCAAAATACTTAGGACCAGAAAAAGCAATACGTGAGACCATGTAAACAGCTGTTTCATATTCACATGCTAGACTAGTACTTTAACAATTGTCTTTGTTAATTTACCATTGGCTTACCATTATTTACCTTTAATTTTTCTCTCTTTTGTAGTCCCTGCTATGTGGATATTTGTTAGCAATGACTGATGTGGAAACTACATATGCAGATTTTATTGCTTCAGGAAGAACAGGTAGAAGAAATGCAATACATGATATCCTGGTTTCCTCTGCAAGTGGCAACAGCAATGAATTAGCCTTGAAATTAGCAGGTCTTGATATCAACAAGACAGGTTAGTCATTTGCCACTCATCTCTCTATGAACATGGAATGGTTTGTAGCATTTCACTAAGTGGGATTAAGGCATGAAACGTCATCTATGAAAGTAACCTAATAGAGTTATAAACAATCTAAGACAAGATGAAAGCCTGATCACTCCCCCTCTGTTTTCAATGATGTCTCTTTACAGGGTTGCCCACTTAAATGCAGTCCGTCATCTAATTTTATTAATGAAATCAATAAAACACAGTGGTTTTTATTAATTCTAATTTCTATAGAAACTCTGAAATTACTTATGTAGAATATTTAACAAAGTTGGAGCTCCTACCTTTGATAATATTGGCCACCTCTAAAGTTTATATAAATAAATAGATATTTAACAAGATTCACAGGTAATTCTGATAACTTGAATTTTAAGAACGATTTAAGAAGAAAAGTGTCTCTGGGACCAATTTTATTGAGAATGGAAGTAAAATAGTCTGTTACATAAGCAAGTCTTATGCAAAAGATTCTTTTAGTTACCCTTTTCACGACAAAATGGGTATGTAAACAACTTCTAACTGGGCCTTGAATATCTTACCCAAGGAGTCTAACTTTATTCGTGAAAAAGAAAAACAAGTTTGATACATTAAAATACTTGACATTTTTACTTCTGTGTATTAGAATAAATTCCCTGATAGTTCCTCCATCTGTATGCTTTTGCAAGTATCAAAGCTAAATGTGTTACCCTGAGAAGACTTGTGCAAAAATAACCTTTAAAAGTAAAAAGAATTTACGATTAAGGAACTATAATATTATGTACATGAAAAGTTCTTAACACAGTTTCTGGCTTGTAATTATCCAACATGTCTTCATTATTAGAATTTTTTATTATTATTATAAAGATTTGGGGTACAATCCAGGGTTAGGTATAGAGACGTTGATTACGCAGAGACCCTTGTTGATGAGGTATGCCCCTCCCTCCCCTAGCAGTTTCCCTCAACAACTGCCAATCACACCTCCTACCCTGACAGTTTCCCACTACTGCCAATCCCTTTCTTATAGTATTATAATTGTTCAAGGTCCGCTCGCTTATGAGTGAGAACATATGGTACTCTGTTCTTTGTTTCTGTGATAGATCACTGAGTATGATTGACTCCAAATCCATCCAAGTTGCTGCGAAGTCCATATGTTTGTCTTTCTTTATGGCTGCATAATATTCCAGGCAAAGTCTTCAGGTTATTGGAAAACTAAATCAGGGTATATACACTGGGGTTGCCCAAAAAATATATAAGCATTTTAAAAGATGTTATTGGCCAGGTGTGGTGGCTCTCGCCTATAATTCCTGCACTTTGGGAGGCAAAGGTGAGAGGATTGCTTGAGACCATGGGTTTGCAACTTGGCGAGACGTCACCTCTACAATAAATCAAAAAACTAGCCGGGCATGATGGCACATGCCTGTAGTTCCAGCTACTTGGAAGGCTGAGGCAGAAGGACTGACTGAACCCAGTAGGTTGAGGCTGTGGTGGCCATATGTGTGCCACTGCACTCCAGCCTGGGCAACGGAGTGAGACTCCGAGTAAAAAAATAAAATAAAATAAGAGATGCTATCTATGTATTACTTTTCAAAGTTGAATTAAATTACTGTGGCAATGTAAAGTATGACATTCGCTTTACTGGGCTTCTGCCATTTTTTTTTTTTTTACTATCCTGCCTGTCGCATGGTGACACTAGCATACATTTGATTAGTGCCATCTTTTGAGCAAACGTCATACTTACAATGTGTACACATTTTTTTTGGCACCCCCTTATGGTAATGAAACAGCTCAGTAACATTACCTTAAAATACAGTAGGAAAGCATTTTATTCAATGACTAAAGGTCAGTAGTCACAGATTTTTTTTTCACAGTTAGATTAATACTAAAACTTCAACATCACCAGTTTGGCATATATAGGCATATACATGGCTTAGGTTTCATTGCTTATTATTACTTCCAGTATTTACTTCCCAAAGCAACTCTGAGAAAGTCTATATGTGGAATTAGTCCCATTTACTAACATGAGATAGATAAGTACATTTTCTCTGCAATCTTTCAAAATGTTTATATCTTTATTTTTTAACATGAATATGCTATTTTAAATAATCTGCATTAATATTAGCTTTCCTTAATATTAGGGCATTTTTATTAATAGTGTGATTTAATTTCTTCTTTTTTTGCTCCTGAAATTGACAGTTGTCATTCCCAAGACCTTTCTTATGCATGAGGACATATTACATTATTAGAAATCATTTCAATAATAAATTGAAATTTTACACTAATAAATAGAAATAAAATAATTGTATATCAATTAGACTATACTTAAATAATTTTATGAGACTGACGCACTGCTACTGTGGTAAGAAGGCATCACCACTACTCAAATAATTTTAAATAATTTAAATATCTTTGTACTTGTGTTTTCTAAATATTTCTGTACATTAATTGCAATTATCTAGGCCCTTACAACATTTTCTGTTTCTCTTCAAATTTTAAAGTCCAAATCTAGGCAAAATATAAACAGCATTGACATAGTTTATTATTCTAAGTAAAAAGAACTAAAAATAATAACTGAACAATAGTCTAAAATATAAAGAATAGCAAACATCTAATGACAGACTCAACATTGCTAACTGAGAATGGTGAGCAACTTCTTCCGTAATTTCTGAATATTTCAGTTTCCTTTTAGTCTATGCTCAACAATATTGCTGCCCCATGTTTACCTTGATTTGTTAACAAGCATCTATTTAGCCACAGCTATGTTTGCAGCATAGTGTTAAACCCTGAGAAGTATTCCCACACACCAAGAAAGTCCCAAGCCCCATGGGAATCAAGTTCCTCATCTTATATTTATGCAGTCACTTTCATTCTTAAATATTCAACCAATTACATCTGCCCTAATTTAACTTCATTCCTTTGGTTACCAAGAGCTTCACCCATTTAACAAGTTCTTGTTGCATGCTAATCTGCACATCTCAGATTCAGGCCATCTGCATGTTATGGGAGTCTCTAATAATAACTATAGTGCATGAAAATGATGTGTAATGCCTGGTCATATCCTTGGTACCACTTTACAACAAATTATTATTTTTGTGTGGAAGAACTGCTTTTAATTTCCCTAAAGACTTAACGTCCTTGGAACATTGTGAGATGTTTATATGTGCTTGTTAAGAGTAAAGGAGAAGCTGCCTTTCAACATTGTTCCAAAGAATGGACCAACCCACTTACCTCCATTCATTTGAATTATGATAACAAACTCTTAGCAAATATCAATATAATTTATATTATTGCAACACCCTAAAATATATTTTGCCTACCAAGTCATATTGACTGCCTAGTAACTAAGTATCCCTTGTAAATACTTGAATTGTTGTGTCAAGGATTTCCTACAGCTTGCACTTTGTATGGTGTGGGAGAATCGTTCAGTTTCAGTGTTTGTTATGTCACTGGCTAGGATTGCTACTGAGGGTGCAGTTATGACGTTGGTTTTATTGGAATTGTGCATATGTTCTCTAAGGGCAGGCCAGAGGCAATTATAACTATTTGACAAGGGACTGACCAGCTGATATAATGTCTGTTCATCTTCCACTATTGCTTTTACTTTGAACTAATAGAACCTCTGAGAAATCAACTGTGTTGTCATCGGGTGCTATTAGAAGTAGAAAATGCAATTATAAAGTATTTCTGCATATAAGACAATAGGGCATAAAAAGGTCAACATGCTTTCTCTTCTGATTGCTACTTAAAGACATTTCTGATTTCTGCAACCTGTGAAACTGTATTTACGTGCCATGATCTGCCCATGAGATTTCCTAGTTAGTTATTAAAAATATAGTTTATCACTAAGCACCCTGAAAATTCATGTTTGTTGCTTTGTTTCTGAGCCATTCTGTCCCAAGTTGACAGAATCAACCAGCTCTTGAAAACTTAAGCTATTTTCTTGATGGTGAACTGAATGCCAAGAAAGTCTATGAAAGTTTCAGACTTTTTAAGTATTTCTGAAGTTTCCAATATGATATGTGTCCATAAATAAAAGCAATCATTCTTATTTTGCCTTTATCCTTTTTTTCATTCTCGCGCAGAAGGCGAAGAAGATGCCCAACGAAGTACGACAGAACAAAGTGGGGAAGCCCAGGGAGAAGCAGCAAAATCTGAAAGCTAACACCCCACTTTGACCTTCAACAATACCTGCTGATGTCTCAAATCTCCAGGAGTGTCTGGAATGCATTTGTTTCCATGAGTGAAAAGGGGGGAAAGAAAATGGCTGTGCTGCATTGCAGGAACCTGCTCATTATCATGTTAAAAATGAGGGCAGAGGCTGTGGCTGCAGACAGACTTTTCTCTACCTCTGTCATTAGCAATGGTTGAAATCATGTGGCTTGTGTTTGGGCATCATTTTTGTATGGATCCTTTCACTTGACCATATGATGAAATGCTTGTAGAGAGTAGCACTGACCTAGATGATGATTCTTCCTGTAGTATCTGGCCCCTCACAATGTCAGAGGATTTAATTGTGTTTAATTGCGAAGGGTTGGTTGAACCCAGAGTTTAAATATCTCTGGCTCAAGTGTTCACCCAGTAAAAGAACCATCCAGAAAGCACTGTTTTTAGCATTATGTATCCGTGTGTTTCTGCTGTGTTATTTACACTGTTTTGTATTGTACAATATAGATGCTCAGCACTGCCCCTTCTCTGATTGCTATGAAAAACAAAAATGTTGTACATTACTGTGAATTTTTATACCACTCATTTTTAAAAGGGCTGTTTTGTTTTGTTTTTAATTTTCCATAATGTGATGGTATATGCAGGATAGAACACACTTTTTAAAAACATAATCTTTTCCCTTGATCACTGTATGTTGATGAATTTATTGAGGCTAACAGATTAATCAAGACTTCTTCACTTTATTACACCTGCATTTGAAAACATCCATTAATGTGAATATTACCTGAATTCAGTCAGTTTGGTGTCTACACAGACTGGAATTCAATCTGTTAATTTTGTTTTACACCTAAATGGAGATCTTCTCCCAACTAACATTTTTATTTTTAATCATGGTAATTTTGGAGATTTGGAAAGGTAGAAAAGAAAAACCAAGATAATACTAAAAGCTGAAAATATTTGTTCTATGGAATCAGATTTCTCAAAATGTTGTATGCTACTATTTAAATTTTGGAGGATTTACTTATTTCCACCAGGCTGAAAAGATGGGGAAAGTAACCTTACTGCAATCAGGTGGACACCAACCACAGAAGTAAAGTCTTTGTGTTGTGTTTTTCATGTATTTTTTCAGCCCTATCAAATCCAGATGTTATTATGCACTTTGTAATGTTTGTAAACTTTTACTAATAATTAGTGTGAATTGCATTCTGGTACAATAATTTTCATCATTGGAAGCTAACACAATTCTCATTAATACTGTGTTTGATGACCTTTGCTGTATTTTGACATCATGGTTCTTATATGGAAAGTTTTTGTGAGCTATGTAATCCCTCTGGTCAGTATTATGAAATCATTTATCAGAGGTAATAAATAAGGAACCAGTAATATGCTAATGGTTCATGAATTACTGGACAACAGCAGGCAACAGGAAGTCCCTTTATGATAAACAGCCACTCAAGGGTTGATGGTTCCAGGCAAAGTGGGTAGAACAGCATTTCAATGGGTAATCTATGTGGTTTGCCAGGAATTCAGCCCTTCTCAGTAGTTACACACAGGTAAGTCTGACTTTTCAACTGACTGGAATAGATAATAGGTCTCATTTAGTCCTCAATCAGATACTACTATGAAAAAAGTTAATGTGAGCCTTTCTGACAACAGAAAGAGAAAAGATTATATTCTAGCATACTTCATTCAATAATCCTATCAGGGGACAAAATGTCCAGTTAAAATTCAAACAAATCACCTATTATAATACTCACAAATGTGAAAAAAGGTTTCTGGGGCTATTTTAGACAATCTCTGGTAGTCTTTTTAAAACTCCCAACCCCTATAATCGGTTGTCAATATCCTTATTTACTATCTTGATAGCTGCCTGTGAATCTAAAGTTCTCTTCTTTCCTATAGTTGTGGAAATCCAAATCAATTTTATGTGATTTTTGTAAAGTTTAGAACCAGTGCTGAGTATATGTGGAGGGTTTATATTTCTATGTGATACACTATTATTAATGCATGTGGTTCCATGCTTGTCTTTGAATCTATAAATAGTGCTAAATTGCAAAGTCATATGGAGCTTTTGACTTAGTTTGACTTCTTACTGCTGCTTTGTTTACTATATTCAAACCCAGAGGCATTCCAAAGCTGGGAAGATAAAAATTGACTTTCCAAAATATCCACATCCTATACATTTTGCTTGGCAAGAGTTCACAGTATCTTTCAAAATTTATTTTAATATCTTTTATTTGCAAGTTAGTAATACACATGGATCTGAAATTTTAAGAAGAGAAGGAAAGGGCAGGAAACTAAGGCTTTGATTTTGATAGTAATCATTGGTTGCCTATTAGCCAACTATCCCCTTGCTAGTTAGTCACTTTGCAGCACATATGATCCCTTAGAGTGGCATTGTTCTCCCCTTATTGAATGCTAGATTAGAAAACTAACATTTGATAAGGTATAACTTTTAGAAATTTACAAATAAGTGGTCAGTTTAGGTTTGCACTTATGTTTGTCTGTTGCCAATGATCTTTCTACTGCACATGTCATAAAATTAAAGCCAACTGCAGAGCTGGAAGGAAACATTTAGAGATGGACTTGTTCGGCCTCCTTATTTTAGAGAAGAAAACTGCATCCCAGAAAGAAAAATTGCCCTTCTCAGGATTACTCAAATGGGTAATGACACTGATGTGAGTAGAATACAGAAAGTATTCTTCTTTTTAAAGAAATTTGATTATAACTAATTTCAGGGGTATACTTCCCATAAGATGTTTTTCTGATTCATGCTGACACTTTTTTTGTTTTGTGCTACTTATTTAGTTTAATTGCATTTTGTTAATTAAAATAAGAACATAAAGTTTTTTTAACTTATTTGCGGAAAGTGTGAAATTGTCAAATTTACCTTTTATCAGTTATAAGCATCCTATCCGAACATATTGTTATCACAAATTCCTAGAAATATTTTCCCAATAAATAACAGACATTGAGATCTTACTCAGGCAATACTCCCAGTACTGCTAAGACTAAGGTATAGAGACCCTACACTTAGCCTTACTTGGATATGACGGCAATGAACCATTTTTGAAGATGAATGATGCTGCAATTTCTCTTCAGAAAACCAATAATGGGTAAAGAAATGTAACTGCTGGGCAGCAAAGCTTCTGAGTGAAACCTATAGTAGTAGAGTGAAAAAAATGTAGTCAAGTGAAAACAGGAAAGGATCTATGATGTATGGTGTCTTAATAGGCCCTAAATTGTTCTTTAATTGCAAGAGTGGCAGTCTCTGAAGTCATTTGTGAGCTTGTATGACTTTTGTATTTAGTGATGTTGCATGCTCACATATTGATATTAAAAGTAACACATTTTTCTGAAATCTACACAGTCTATTAAGAGTATTTATTGAGTACACATGTACTTGGTGCTAGAAGTGCTGTGGGTGGTAAAGGAGAAATTCAAAGCCCTAGGCATCCTATGGTGGACGTTCCCAGCACTCTAGCTTCACTTTCTCGGTCTTTACTCCAATAATTTTCACTTCCATTCCACGCCAGTAACCTTGTCATCTACCAGAATCATCTCAACTCCTAGATCTTAAACCCCAATACTATATCTGTGGTTCTTACTTGCTCATCTGCAAGGAGGTGATTATCAATAAGGAAAAAGACGGGTGTTTATCAGAATCCCCTGAGTCTTTACAAAACCCATGGTCTACCAGCACACACATAGGTACATTCATATGCAAACATTTTTTTTTTTTGAAACAAATGCCTACATGACTTTGATACCTTTCTTCCTACCACTTGCACTTGAGAATGGCTAGAAGGAATTCAAGGTTTCCTGATGTACCCACCCTGGCCTCTCCACTGTGAGGCATTCAAATGAATCAGGAACAAAAAGCTGTTTCCACAGACCCCAGGATTTTACTGCATTAAAGATATCACTTCAGAATAGAGAAGCAAAAATAGCTTAATTTCATTTATCCTATTGTCACTCTCATTTGTCACATTATTTCTTACCACATACAGGCAGAAGAGACTAAGCAGAGACCAAGATGGGACGCAGGTGAAAGACAACAGACAGCACTCCGCCTGGGTCTAGGCAAAGTCTTCAGCCAAAGGGATAAAAAAAAAAAAAGGTGTAAATATTTATCTCACTCACATCACAAGGATAAAACACTGCATAGGGAGATGAAACAAACAAAAGACTAACCAGTGAAGCAAGTTGTAGAGCCTCTAGCATCTCTTCTCCTTGTGTATTTCTTATCCTTGTCTAATAGATTATGGGGATTTAGGATCCTCACCATCTCACAGTGCAGTCAAAATTAACAAAACAATCTGAATATAACCCACTAGCTTTCTTTTTGTGCCACAGCTCCTTTTTTGATCATATCAAGATGGATGTTTCCTTAGTAGCTTTTCTCCTACTCTGGAATCCATTGTTCATCTTTCTCTTTGGTGCTCTCAAGTTTCTTACTTTCTTTTCCTGCCACCTCTGGCCAATCAAAATCAATCAGACCATCTCCCTTTTCTTGTCTTTTGGATGATTGCAAAAAGTGTATATAGCAATGCTTACTCAATGTTTGCAACCTCAGTCTAGACTTAAGTGCTACCCAACTCTCTTTTTTTCATGTACCTGAGAACAGGAAACTCCCCATGTCCTGGTTAACACTTATTCCTTCATCTCAGATTTTTACACAATTTTCTTCTGGCTTTGACAGGAGGTCTATTATCTTTATTTTTCTTCACTGACTTTGCTCTCTTCCATAAATGTGCTCCCGTTTCCTTCACTACTTACATTTCTCAAAATTGTAATGTATACTCTCTGTTGTCATGCTTCTCCTCCTCATTTCTTATCCTTTTGCAATTTGACTTTCAGTTAAATTTTTCTCATTACCAATGACATCTTCAGGAGCTTGTGAACCTTCAATAATTGTCACTGAATCCCTGCCTTATATGGAAACTATAAGGTGAAAATTATTCAGAGGACTCAAGATTTACCTAAAACCAAATCTAATGTTTTTATATTTTTTAATGATGTTACTGTGACAGTGTATAGTTGCATAATAAAGTCTTTTTTATGTTGAAATCTATATATACCAAGAAAAAGTCAATTTTCTCTCTAGGATAGAACATCCATAATGTATGGATATGTTCTTACTCTATGACCACAATCGTCTCATGATGTTTGCTTGTTACATTCTAAGATCCTACAGCGCTTCTTCTTTAGAGGTGTAGTTGATAGGCCTGAGCCCAGAACCTGGACATCCAGAGATGAGCAAGATTATCTTATGATATTATAAAGTTCTATGTTCTATTATACTCTTATTATTCCTTTCTCTCTTGCAGCTTCTCACTCTTCTTGACTAGTTCCCCTTCTCTACTTTCCCACTAAATATTGTGTTTCTCTGGAATTCCCTCGTATTCCTTATCTCTAATCTCCCTCTTCAGATGAATTTATCCATTCCCAGATCATCAACCACATTCACCATAGTGAATCTCATTTCTTGATCTCCAGCCAAGAAGTCACCCCTCATTACTTGACCTATTGCATAGTTGAACACAAATTTCTCAAAACCATCTTAAACTCAACATTCCACACGAATTCAGTGTATAATCCCATCTTCAAACCTACTTTTTCTTTTTCTTTTTCTCTTTTTTTTTTTTGAGTTGGCATCTCACTCTGTTGCCAGACTGGAGAGAAGTGGCACGCTCATGGCCACCCCAGCATTGACCTGCTGGACTTCCAGCGATTCTTCCACCTCAGCCTTCCAAGTAGCCGGAACTACAGTCACGTGCTACCACGCATGGCTAATTTCTTGATTCATTGTGGAGATGAGGTCTTGCCAAGTTGCCCTGGTTGGTCTCGAACCCACAGGCTCAGGCAATCCATTCACCTCAGCTTCTGCTTTTTCTTATATACTACAGTTCTCAAATAATGGTAGCACTGGTTTTCCAGCAACTTTCTATCAAAATTCTTAAAGCTCTTTTAACTCTTCTCCCTTCCTCCAGTTTTGTTTTGGTTTTTTGTCTCTCGATTCTTATTCTTCACTACTTGTTGAAACTGTGCACTTCTTTTTGTTTGCACTCCAACCCTTTCAATAATCTCTTATCTAACTTAATGCAATGGCCTGCTCACCAGAACTTGCCTCATTCAGCATTCTTACTATCCATCTTGCAATCAGATGTACTTTTCTAATATATGTCTGATTATTTTTCTCTCCTAATTAAAAAATCCTTATGTTTAGCCAGACACAACTTTATGGTATACATGCCACACTGTATTTGTGTATAACTTCTTGCTCTGTGTTAGCTTTTCTCCTGTTCCTAAAATGTGCTTCTTCATGCTTATTGGCAAATTCTCGCTGACCCTTTTGGACTATGCCTTATTTCATACTTTATATATTTTTTGACTTTCATCTCTATTCCCAATCCCCACCCTAGGAAATTAGCTGTTCCATACTCCTTGCTCCCTGGAAATTTATCTGCAAATGCATCTGACTGTATCACAGTTATTTGTTCATGTGTATATCTCTGCAACTAGAATGTGAGTTATTTCAAGGAAGTGGCCCCTTGTTTTTTTATCTTTGTGTCCTCATTATTTACTATTCAATACATATGTATAAATGAGTGATATTTGTGCTGCTGAAGCTTGCAATAAAGTTAAGAGACAGAATGTACACATAGATCAACTAGGGAAGAATGCAACTCAGAGATAAAGAGATAGTTGAGAATTGTTAAGTTGCAAGGATATTGCATTGCAGAGGAGAAACACTTGGACTTCTATCACCTTTCGTTTACAGAAGAGTAAATACTTCTAAATTATTTTAAATAATAAATTTTAAAATTATTACAGAAATGTACTCCAATAGCCTAAAGAAATTAGAATTCTAATAGGAACAGGATAAACCTCAATGGCAGGAATTCAGAGGGGAAAAAAATGAAAATAGTAGAAAGAGATGAAAGAGTACATTTTTAGATACTCAAGAAAGAAAGCACACTGATATATATATATAACCTTAAAATATTTTTCCTGGATCTTGTATCTTTTAGAAAATATTGGTAATCAAATTAACACCAGAAATCTAACGAGTCTAATGAAGTACTGTGAACTTTTTGACTCTGAAACTAAGAAATTAGACTGACCAAGATATTGATGTAGGTAACTCCTAATAGGACACGCGTTCATTTTGGCTGTCATGATTCATTTTATACATCACTTGAGTAGGATGGTGTGAGTATTATGACTGTCCTGCTGAATTTCTAAGTTTTCTTTTATCCCACATATTCTTTGGAATTTATGAAACAATGTAGAACTGTGAGTTTTAAGGGCAGAAAGTTAGGTAAAAATAGCTATAGCTAAGAAGTGACAACTTAAACATATTCTTCCTTCTCAGATGGTCCTAAATAAAATCCAGTAAATCATCAAATTTGATTAGAAAATAAAAATTGAGCATTTACTAAGCATAAGTTACTCTCTTAGATGCAGTAAGAAGTGAAAAATTTAAAAGACCATAAAATCAAATACCAGTAGCAACTGAAATATGTGATGGGATCCATGGTTTTTCTGGAAGTATTCCTAGTCTTCCCCCATCACTACTTCATCCCTCCTTTTAGGAATTTTTCCTTCAATTCCACACTTTAATGAGAACTGACCTTTTGCTCTGATTCCCAGGCCTTTTGTATCACAGAATTGGGAGAATCGACACACAGGGTAGAGTGATAAGAGGAAAAATACAGATTCAATGCCAGAGTTGTTCTTACTGGGACAGGATAATGATTGAAACAGGCAAAAGTATTTAAGTTAGCATGTTTAAGCTAACTTGCATAATGGTATGAGCTAAAAATTAGAGGAAGGATGTACAAAGCAATGGAATTAGGGGTTTTTTTTGTTTGTTTGTTTTAAGTTTGGAAAGTTTGACAAGTAAGGAGCTTACATGAAAAACCAAAATGAAACAAGAGCTTTTGTATTTGGTTCTGAACTACATATTTAGTATCCTTAAGCACATATAAATACTGGACTCCTTTCCGATTATTTCTAGTTTTTAGATGCAACCTTTTGGAATTAGGCTTCATAAAAAGTCCTACCTGGGACTTTAAGGTTTATAAAAGGACATTCATTTAATAGAAATGGTAACACAAGTACATATATGTCAACAATAGATCTCTGAATATTATAGCAATAACAGAAAAGTATAGAACATCTCATGCAGATTCTGGGGAAGAATGTCACTTAACAGGAAATATGGAGAAGGATGTACTGAAATTATCTTGAAACATTTATTTTATTAAAGAAAGAAATTAGACATTCTATACAGAAAAATGACACAAACTAAAGTGTGCAGGTAGGAAAACAAAAGATTACATATATTTTTAATAATCCT